CCCCTCTTCCAGAATTCCACATTTCTGTCAAGGTCATCACCATCTTCTCAGACACCCAGGCTTGAAATATTGGTGTCCTCCTCCACTCTCCCCTCTCCCTCACCCCACATATTGAATCCATTGCCAAATCTTGTGTTTCCACCTCTACACATCTCACATCCATCCCTTTCTCTCTACTCAGCCTCCACCTTAGTTCAGGCCTTCATCACCTCTTGCCTAGATTATTGCAACACTCTAATAACCGGTGTCCATCCTCTACTCAGCTGCCAAGGTCATTTTTCTAAAGCTCTAAGTCTGACCATGTCATTCCTCTGCTCACAAAGCTTCATGAGCTCCCCATTTCCTCTAGGACAAAATGTGAAGGCCCAAGTACTGGATTTTCAGATTCTCCATAGTTTGGCTCCAATGAGCAGCCTTATTGTACTCTTTCATCTATTGTATCTTGCCAGGACAGGAATTATTATTCTCATTGTAGTGAGAAAGAAGCCAAGGCCCAGAGTGGAGGAGTAACTTGCCAAGGCTGCCTGGCTAGTTAATGGCAGAGCTGGGATTTGAATACAGGCCTCCTGACTCTCAGTGGCACCTCCAGCAGCTACTGACAGCCCTCAGCTCCTCTTCAAAATATGTCTTTCTTGCCCGCTTCTCTGTTTTCTAATTTCATTTTCTTTTGCTCTTCTATTCACTTCTTCCTTCCTCTCCTATGGCACAGGCTTGGCATTGGTACCTTGGGGCATCGCTTAGCCCCAAGGAGGGGCACTTGGAGCTGGAGAAAGTGCCAACTCTTCCCCCCAACATTTCAGAGCCCATCTGGACTGCAAAGCTGCTCAATGCCCAGCCATCCTGTTCCTCCTCCTCTTTTCCTTTCCCTTCACCAAGCTCATCCACTGCTGAGATAACATGTGAAGTGCTTTCTAAGCCCTATATAAATGTTCATTATTGTAACCCTAGGAGACACCTTCTGTAACCTGAGGGAAAGCAAATCAGGAAGTAATGAGTGGCTGTAGAGAAGGAGCTGAAAATTCTACCTAGGAGCTTGACAAACAGTATTCCCTATCCCCACCCCCACCCCAGGCCATCCTCCCTGGGGCTGAGCATCCCTCAGCCCACCCCTAGATGACACCTACAAGGTCCTGCTCACCCTCCTGCCAGTTATCAAAGAGAGCAGAATTCACTATATGAAAGTGCTTGCCCACTACTAATGCACAGAGCAGCAAATGCAGTCCTACTAAGGTCAATCAGTCAACATTTATTAATAACTTATTATGTGTCTGGTACTGTGTTAAGAGCAGGGGATAAAAGGTAAAAGACAGTCCCAGTCCTTAAGAAGCTTACAACCTAACGGGGGAGAAAACATGCAAATAAATAGATACAAAGCGACCTACACACAGGATAATTAAGACATAATTAACAGAGGGAAACCAGTGGAATTTACAGGGCTTGGGGAAGGCTTCCTGGAGAAGGTGGGATTTCAGGTGGGACTCAAAAGAAGCCGGGGGGGGGTGTTGGGGGGTTCAGGAGTTAGAGTGGAGGAGGGACAGCATTCCAGGCATGGGGGACAGCCAGAGAGCATGCTGGGAGCAGAGAGACGAGTGTCTTGTTGTTGGACCAGCCAGGAGGCCAGTGTCACTGGTTATCCAAGAGTGACAATCTACTCTCCTTGCCTTCCCCAGAAGTCCACCCAAGAATCCAGCCAGGGTTAATTAGAAAAGCCCTCTGGCTGACAAGCTTGGGGGAGAAGGAGGGGAGGGAGGAGAATGGGGGGGGGGGAAGAACAGAAATGCCTATTACTTTTTTAAAAGGATTTTCACTCTTCAAGTTCTTAAAGAAATGATTTGTGTATATTGTTTTCCTTTTAGATTGCAGACTCCCAGAGGGTTAGGCAGACATGATGCAAAGCCTGCACCCAGGTGTAGTGAAGAAGTCCAGGCAATCAGCCGGCATTTGTCTGGCACTGAGCTAATCCCAGGGGCTCCAAAGCCCAAAATGAAACAGTCCCTGCCCCCAAGAAACTTATGATCTACTTTTAGTCAGTCAATAAATGTTTATTAAACACCTACTAGGTGTCAGGCACTGGGCTAAGCGCTGGGAGGACACAGAGAATGGCAAAAGACAGGCGATCACAGTCCAACTATCGAGACAACATGGAAACAGCTCCGCACAAATAAATGACCTGCAGGAGACAGTAGAAATAATCAAGTCTCCTTCGCCTAAAATCAATCCAGTCAGAGCAGCCCTCCTCCCTAAGCAGGAGTGTGCTCCTTAGGGGGTTGGGGAGGAACCAGAGGATTTGGAAACGCCAGCAGATTCCCACTCTGCCTGGGGAGTACAGGATATTCCTGGGGTGGGGGAGGGCCAGGAAATGCTTCCCAGAGCCTAGATCAAATGGGATCTCAGCTTAGCCTGGGAGGTTGGAGGGCTCCAGGGAGAGGAGATAAAGAAGATAAAGACGTTCCCTAAATTGGTTTTCAGAAAAAGGAGGGGGAGGGTGGTTTGGGCAATGTTGAATATTTATCATTCTTGTCAATACCTTTCGCCTATTAGTAATCTGAATCCTTTAACCATAGTCATCAGCCTCCAAGGCCTCAGGGGGGCATCAAGGTGATTTGGGATGAATGGGCTGGCTATGGCCTCTGGGTCTCTCTGTGGAGAACCAGCCAATCTGAGTTCCGAGAGAGGCTCTTCGGAAAAGCCTGTGGGAAACTGAATTTGTTTTCAGACAAAACAACTCAAAAAGACTGTCTCCTAAGGGATGGGGGGGCGAGTGGGGTGAGGGTGGGGGGGAAGAGTAGGATGGGGAGGGAGGAGGGGGAGGTTTGCCTTCTCCCTAGATGGAGGAAGCACCATTCAAGTCTGGATACACTGAGGTAAACATTTTCATCCCTATAGGCTCTCTGCTGCTCAGCGGCTAAAGCTGGCCTGGGCGACTGGAAGCCTTGGGTTCCAAGCCAGCCCGTGATACATACAGTCTGTGACACAGACTTCACTTATCCCGGCCTGAGTTTTCCAATCATTAAAATAAGGATTATGAAAATGCTACCTCAGAGGGTTCTTCTGAGGAAAGCATTTTATATTATTCAGTTCTCACTTTTCTTTTTAAAAAGATGTTTGATATCTTGATTTCATATCACCTACATTTTTCCCTGTATCCCTCCCACTCCCTTCTCCCAAGGGTGTCACCTCTTAAACTCTTATGTAATTGGGTTCCTTTTTCTCTTCTTGTGAGCTCCAGCCCCACATCACCAGTGGCAAGATGTACCATAGGCAGTATGGCACTGGAGCTATAATGCTAGTCTTAGGAGTCAGGGAGATACGGGTTCAGATCCCTTTTTAAAATTACTAGAGGTATTGGTTCATCTTGGAGTAGAGGCCCTGTGGTGTAATTCTGGACAAGGGACTTAACCTCTCTCCTCAGATCAGCTCAAATCCCACCTTGGTGGGGAGACCTTTCTCATTTCCACCCTACCCTACCACCCCCTCCAGCCCCACCCCCTTTCCTTGGAGATCACCTCCCATTCCTGTGTGCCCAGTAATTTGAATGTTGTCTCCTCCATTAAAATGTCTCTTTCATTTCGGGTCTTCCGTTCTATCCCCAATGCTTAGCACTTAGCCAGGAACTTACAGTTTGTCGACTGTAATGTTGATAATTGCAAAAATGCTTTTCCAAACACTTGTCCCAACATTAATTGGGAGAGAAAACCCGAGGAGAACTTGAGTAGCTTCTAGTTATTTCCTGCTTCTCACTTCTGCAGTGAACTCTCCCCCCCTCCCTTTGTCCCTCTAATGGACTTTCTCCCATACTGCTTTGTTCCGCCCTCAGTAAAGCATAAGCTCCTTGAGGGAAACTTGGATTTGCATCTTGTAATACCCTATGCCTGGTGCCCGGTGGGCTCTTAATAAAGTCGTGTTGATTGTCCTCTGTTAAGTTTATAAATCTGTGAGGGCTGGGCCAGTTTTTTGAATTTCTCCCACGCCTCACTTAATCTAGGGCCTAGTTGGCAGCCCTGCGCCAGACTCACCATTTCCACTGCCCCCCCTCCAGGGGTCGAATTCTTTCCTTTCTCATCTCTACCTCCAGCCTTCCTTCAAGTCTCAGCTAAGGCCCCACCTTCTGCAAGAAGTCTTTCCTGGTCCTCCCTTAACTTTAGTGCCATCCCTCGGAGACTCCTCGAATTTATCCTGGCTAGATCTTGTTTGTACACAGTGGTCTCCCCATTAGAAGGTCTTTCGCCTATTTTGGTAGGCGGCGGTATCCCAGCATTTAGCATAGCGCGTAGCACATAGCGGATGCTTAAAAAATGTTTATTGAATTGACTGGAGGTCAAGGTAAACGAGGTATGGAGTAAAGAACACAGACTTTGGACCTGGGTTTAAACCTGAACTAGTCATCTTTCTGGACCTCAGTCTCCCTCAGCTGGACCTCAGAAACTTACCCCCGCCCCGATCAAACGAGGCGGGTGGGCCTTTGCTACCTCTGAGGCCCATTGCAAGTCTAACCCTATGAAGGGAAGATGCAGGTGGTGTGCGCGACGTCGAACATCTCTGTGCTAGGCGCCCAGCCTCCAACGCCCCGCGCAGCTTAGGAAATCTCTCTTCCTTCCTAGCTCTCCCTTCCCGGGGCCGTGACGGGGATCCGGAGCCAAAGCGGCCCTACCACGCCAGCAGAAGCTGCGAGCAACAGCGCCGTCTAGGCGGCGAGCGCTGCGCCGGCGAGCGGCCGTGGGGCGCTCGGAGGCCCAAGGGAGCTGGCGCTGGAGCGAGCCGAGGCGACTCGGCGCTCCTGACCCCCTCCGACCCCCAGGGCCCGGGTGCTGCGGCCGGGCCCTGGAGCTGTGGCCCGGCCCTGGAGCTGTGGCCCGGCCCTGGAGCTGTGGCCTAGCCAAGGAGCTCCGCCCGGCCCAGGCTCAGAAGCCCTCCACCCGACCGAGTTCCTCCGCGGCCCCCCCCATGGCCCCCACCTCGCCCCAGGCGCCCGGGCCGGGTCCTCCTCCTCCTCCTCCTCCTTCTCTCCAGCCCTTGCCAGCGGCGGCTGCAGCTGCTGCAGATAGAGTGTCAGGGAGCCGAGCACAGGAGAGAGCTAGGAAACACCTGTTTCCCTCATGAAAAAGGTGGAAGAAAAGCCCACAACAGGCTTCAAGCCTCCTTGCGTATATTCTGCTCTCAAGAGGCCTGTAAAAAAAGCAGCCTTAAAACCAGGCAAGATCGTTTTTCAAAAAGATCACTTTCTTCCCTACCTCCCCCCATATTCAGCGAAACGCCCCCTGCAAGTCTTCCCTCCTCTTAGAGATTCTCTCCCTCCTTCTGCCCCCCTCCCAGTGACTATAGGGGCTCAGGGGCATCCCCCAATCTCAATGCATTTGTCTCCTCCTTCCCCCTCGCTGCCCACCTGTGGGTACAGTGGGAAAGAGCCACGGGCCTAGGGTTCAAAGCCTGGTTCTTGCCACTAATTACCTGTGTAGTGATCAACAAGTGTTTATTAAGCGCCTACTAAGTGCCCCACACCGTGGTTCGCGCTGGGACACAAAGGCAAAAGTGAAACAGGCCCTGCTCCCCGGAGCAGGAGCACACAGTCTCCGAAGTGGCTGGGCCCCTCTGGGTCTCAGTTCTGTCCTCTGCCAGATGAACAGCGAGGTCTAAATACAAGCATAGAGTTGGGGGGGGAGGGGAGAGGTATTTCAGCCCTGACCCAACTCCTTCCTCTGGGTCTTAGAGGGTCCAACGGCAACTGGGGTCAGGGCGCCTGGTAAATCAGAGCGCAGACGGGGAGGGGGAGTTGGGGATGTGCCCGGGGCATCAGGTGGAGGGGCACCCTGGCACACAATCAGGCACGCCATCAGACAATCAGTCGCACCATCAGACAATCAGACGCACGCCCCGGTGCCTGGGGACGCCACCGGCCTCCCGCGCACGGGGCTCCGTTATTTCATCAGCACTTTCAGAAGAACTCGCCAAAAGCTGTTATGGCTCGCTGCAATGTGTAGCTTTTTCCTGCCGTTTTTTTTTTTCATAATAAAAGAGGGAGTGAAGCTCACTCACTCTCCACCCCCCCTCTCCCAAAAAGAGCCAAATGGATCCGAGAAGGGGGGAAAAAAAAACCCAAACCACGCACACCAATCTCGGAGGGGATGCCAGTGAGGTGTGGCTTGTATTTAAATACCCAATATGTCAATGTAAGGGGAGTGAGTGCGGATGTATATAAAGTGGCGTTCGCCTGTGATAGCCGGACACACCGAGGGATGAAAGGCAGCCCGAGATCAAGGCCCAGGGGCCCCGCCACTTTTGTTCCCAGCGCCGTGCAGCAGCCGTCCCAGCAGCGCGCTCCCCGCCGCCGCCGCCGCCGCTGAGCGAGCCGAGCAGGTCCCCCGGCCGGCCACGACTTGGGCCACCCGCCCGCCAGCCTGCGGCCCAGAGACAGACAGAGCGAGCGAGCGAGAGAAGCCAGAGCCCGGGAAGCAGGGAGCTCAGCCCCAGCCCTGCAGCCCTGCCTGCTCCCCTCGCCCCTGCTCGCCCTCCGCTCCCCCAGCCAGGGAGCCAGCCAGCCAGCCAGCCCGCGGCGCACACACCCGAGCGCGCACACACTCACCCTCACCCTCACACACACACATACACACACACACACACACACACACGCACACGCTCTCTCACACACCCCCTACGGTGGCCGGGGCCATGGCCGAGCTCGGGGGGGCTCTGGGCGCCTCTCTGGACTGGGACGTGCATGGCTTCTCGTCGTCCCTGGGGAGCATGCCCTTAGCCGACTCCCCGGGCTTCCTGACCGAGCGGCTGGGCCAGATCGAGGGCAAGCTGCAGCGCGGCTCGCCTACCGACTTCGCCCACCTCAAGGGGATCCTGCGGCGAAGACAGCTCTACTGCCGGACCGGCTTCCACCTAGAGATCTTTCCCAACGGGACTGTGCACGGCACCCGGCAAGACCACAGCCGCTTCGGTGAGAGGGGAACGGGGCCGGGCCGGGCGGGGGGGGTGCCGCGCCCTCCGGGAGGCGGCGGCGACGGGGCGGGACGGGCCACTGGCACACCCGCCGTCTGCCTGCCCTCTGGCTGCCCTCGAGGCTGGGGGAGCAGAGCGTGAGTGTGCCTGGGGGATAGTCTGCGTTTGTGCGTGGGGAGCTCTGGGGAATGCTCGGAGCCAGGGCGCCTAGACTAGGAGGGTTAGTTAGCTGCTGGCTGGAGGGGGGCGGGGTGGCCCACAGAGCGGCCAAGAACCGTGGGGTTGCCCGCCTGACCTGCAGCCCTCCTGGGGACTTGTCTGAAGCAGGTGTAACCCCTGCTCCCTTCTCGGACTCCTCCTCCGTCGGGGCGGGACTGCACTGGCTTGTCCGGGCGCTCTACAGTGCTGTGCCCCTTAGGGAGAGCCACGGGCTAGAGCCCCCTGACAGCTCCTGGCACTGAGGACGTGCTTAATCAATGCTTGCCAATTAATTGATCGATCGCTCTATCTAGGCCAGCTTCCCAGACCGGCGGATGCGAAGAGGGGGAGGGCGAGGGAGGATGGGGAGGGTGTCAGTATTGGCTCTATGCCTCAGCCTTGGGAAAACCGCACTTCGTAGGGTGGGGTAGGAATAACCCGCAAGTCACTGGCGTGGTGGGAACTTCCCCAGCTGGCTACACTGTCCAAAGACGGGGACTGTGCCTGAGCTTTAGGGTGGCGGAGTCTAGTTTCAAACTCGGGTCTGGTGCCTCCAAATCCAGGCCATTTCCCACTGTACCCGGCTTCTACCCCTCCTGGTCTGGGCCTACGGTGCTGGCAAGGACTCCTCCCCCTCCGATTCCAGACACAGGTATCTCTCCTCTGCCCAGCACATGGGATGGCCCCATGGCTGCCCAGCTCATGGCAGCTTGTTCAGAGGGCACAGCCGCCTGTCTCACATACAGAACTAATTACACATTAATATAAACCATGTCCCAGGATGGAGATCATTAGGTCTCTAAACAAATGTGCTCACTCCCTAGCAATGTGGCCATTTTTATTTTCAATTTCCTATTCTCCCCAGTGCTAAGTCATTCCGCAGGTGCAGTGACAGCCAGCCCAATCCTCAGTCCCAGTAAACCCTCTTTCCCTTCCTCCAGACTCTGTATCCCCCTAAGCAGAGAGGAGGTGACCCTTCCTACCTCCAAGCCAATGCAAATTCAAGGCTCATCTTCCTAAGCCTTCCTTCCCACTACCCCCCCACCCTCACCCCCAAGTTATCTTTCCTGCCAGACTAGAAAAGCAAAAGGCCAGGCACCGTGCAGGAGTGTAGGGGTATAGCAAGAGGGGTCTGAGGGCAGGGCCCAGCCTGGAAAATGGCTTTGGGGACAGGGCTGGCCTGCTCAGAGCAGGCAGGAACCCTAATGAGGCCTATGTCATCTTGGAAAAATGCATTCTGAGCTGAAGTAGAGTAAGTTTGGGGGTGGGGGGGAGTTCAGTTGAGGGCTGCAGGTGTCTGTATAAACTTTCTGAAGGTCCCTAAGGGGGAATGGGAGGGGGTGGGGCCCACTGCAGGTTGCTAGCTTGGCTCAGCTCTCCCCACTTCTCCAGGGGAGAGAACCCTTCCACCTTTGCCCCCAGGACTGGATTTTTTCCACAGAGAAGGAATGGCCTAAGGATTCTGGGGTGGCTGGCTGCTAGTGTGAGAGAGAGAGCCTCACAGACAGAACCGGAAGGGCCGGGGTGGTGGCCGTCCTGGTGCCTAAAGCCTAGGAGTCTCCAAGGTCAAAGTAAAGACAAAATAAATGACCCAGTAGCCACTGGTCGTTAGTTTGTTTAGGGCCCCAAAGACCCAACTCTCTTCCTTTACATCTGGGAATTTAAAGGGAAAAAAAAAAGTAGGATTTGGAATCAAAGGACCTGAGTTGAAGTCCCAGTTGCATTTAACTATCCTTGCGATCCCTGGGGCAAGCCCTTGAACTGCTTTTGGCCTCAGTTTCCCCGTCTATAAAATTCTGGGAGGGGTGGACTAGAGGTTCGTTTTGGCTCCAAATCCCGCCAGACTACCAGTAGCAATATCTTTCCCTCCCCCTCTGCACCAGCTTACCTCTTACCTCTTTTTACAAAAAACCTCTGCCCCAGAAACTCTCAGCATCACCTCTTCCCCGGCCTTTCCCTCATCAGATTGGTGGGATTTCCCATAAAGGAAATTGGAGCATTGCTCAAAGTTTTCTTGCGTCCACCTCCCCTGCCGACTTTGAACCTAACACAGACCCAAACCTTGGTCTAGCTTGTAGTAAAGGATGAGGGGGAGCTTGGGCTTTGGAGCCCTTCCCCCCACCCCACCCTCCTTTTGGACTTAATCAGGCCGAGTATTCAATAAATCGAAACTTGAACATTCCATAAGTGTTTTAGCAGTCAACATTCCAGCAGAGTAAAGGAGACCAGACTGAAGATATAAAATATTATAGATTTCTGCTTTGGGGGAAGGGCTGTAGTCTCCAAAGGCCCCGTAAAGTAAATAGCTATTTGTTGTAATTGGAGAGCAGGGCCCCCGAGGATTACCCTGGAATCCGAGTGTTCAGAGAGAGCCCTGACTCCAAGTAATAACGTGTTGGCACGGGGGACTGTTTCTCCATCTGCATTCGGTAGCCAGGAGGATTGAAATCTCCGTCTGGCTGGCCAGCCGGCCGGTTCTCCTCGGACCCCAGCCTTCCCAATGGGTACTTGGAGATCGGGAGGCAGACAGCACCAGGGGCCTGGCAGCTGGTGGGATGAAGGGGGGTGGTTACAGTCTGGTCTCTGCCATTGGGGCAGGGTGCCAGGAGCCGATGCGGAGCCCGGAGATGTTGGGGTTTGTCCATCAGGCAGTGCCAACCATTCTGGCACTGAGAAAGGTCAGAGAATTGGGGGGGTGGCAAAGCGTGTCCCAGCTCCTCCACCTTCCCCTCTGTTCTGTAGTGCCTGAAGCACACAGTTGTTTTTTTCTGCAGCAAGCCCTGAGCTAGGTGGTGGAAGCATCCTAATTCCCATTTCAATTCAGTCCAATCCGACAAGCACTTTTGAAGCACCTACCATCACTGTACTAGGCCACAAAAATAAAACAGTCCCTGCCCTGAGAAGCCTACTTTCTACTGGAGAGAAACAACATTCACCCAGATAAGTAACTGCAAAATCAAGTCATTTGGGGGTACAGGGAGGGGGAGCACCAATGACAGGGAATTACAAAAGAACTTGAGCTGAGCCTTGAAGGGAGCCTAAAGGGTCTCAGGAGGCCAAGCTGGGGAAGGACAGCATGCTAGGCATACGGAACAGCCTGGGTACTAACACGGAGGCCTGAGATGGAACGTCAATGCCAGTTTGGCTGGAACGTAGGACGTGTGAAGGGGGTAGCATGTGGAAAGCCTGTAAAGATGAGTTGGAGCCAGAGGAGGAAACTGAGTCCCAGAGAAAAAAAAGGATTGTCTTCCCCTTCCCACCGCTACTCTGAAGCACAGAGTCTGCACTCGAACCCAAGCCTTCTGTTTAGGAACACTTAGTTCTCCTTGAGGCTTCTTAGACATTTCTGGGGTGGTGGGTCTGTTTACTGTGGGTGGGGAGAGAGCCTGGATTATTAGTGAAGCTCTAGGATTGTTCTCTTGCTCAGCGGGTATGACCACAATTAGCCCTAGACATGGATAGATGGCTGGATTTAAGGTTGTACCAAGAGGGTCTACTCATCCTCCAAAAATCTCTCCTTCAGGTCAACAATCTATATCTAAGGGTCATTTCCCCTTTGGAAACTTCTTAAAATAAGGTGTTATTTCAAGAAAACCCCCAAGTTTAGCATGGATTATTTGTTGACCATCTCAGTGAATCCCGAAGGAATAGGATACAGGTCTAAGTTTTGATTATGGAGGTAGATGAATGAGAAAGATCATAGCATTTAGATCTTGGAAGACTAGAGATCACTGGTTCAGATCCTCAGTTTAAATAAAAGAAAGCCCAGATAAGGGAAGGGAGTTGCCCAAGGTTACATTTGGAAGAAGTAGCAGAATCTGGACTTGAATTCAGGTCCTCCAACTCTTCTAGTCTTTTTAAAAGTTTAACTGATGCCTTTTGTTTGTACAGTAGTCATTTCTCAACCAACTCCCCCTCCCCCTGCCAAACTGACCTCTCCCTTATATAAAAAATAAGTCACTTAAGCAAAATAGTTGCTACAGCAATTGAATCTGACAGTGTGTACAGATAGCATATCCAGAGCTCTTTCCACTTCAGTCTGCAAATGCCCTGGGCCTGGAGAGTTGCAGGTCTGGCTGCTGACAGGGAGTGCTGGAGATAAACTTTGCCCACTTAGCAACTTTGCCCTCCAACACCTACTTCCAGCTGAAGCTCCAAAAGGGGGGAAAGGGCTTGTTCGCCCTGCATTCCTGCTGGTCAAGTGCCAGGAATGCCTGTCCCATCATCACGTGCCTCTCAGCAGGCCCCCCCTTGGGTGGACTCCAGCTAAGAAGAAAACGGGCAAACAGACATGGCACCCAAAGACAGCCAGGCAGTGGGACTTCAGGAATAGAGAGAACAGGGACATGAAGGAAGACTTATCCGACAGGTCTGCGCCTCTGGGATTCAAGTTAATATTGAACGGCAGTAGGGCCGAGAGGGGAACGTACTGAATGAGAGTCAGACAATCTGCTATTTGGTGTGTGACCTTGGGCAAGTCACTTAACTTCTGGTCCTAAGTTTCCTCCATGAAATGAAGAGGTTAGATTAGTAAATGACACAAAGGCATTCTTAAGCCTAGTTTTAAAGCTGCAAATCTTAAACTTAGACATCAATATCTAGTGCAAGGCAACGCTTTATCTTACCAAGGAGGAAACTGAGACCCAGAGAGGGCAAGTGGCTTGCCCAGTGGCACCCACAGATAGGTAGTAAGTGGCCTAGAGAGGATTTGACCTCTGCTCTTCCTCTTGTTAGGGATTACGGTGGGTTACAGGGGAAAGTAGTTACACCCTTTCCTCCCTTGCCCTTAGAATGGTGGAAGGTTCTAGAAACCCACAGATACTCATTCCAGAGTGTCCTTCCAGACAGCAGAGGAGCGGACTAGGTGATATCAAGGATTTCATAAGGAGTCACCAGAGCAGGGTCAGCCAGGTGCCTAAGAAATAAAAGCCTTAGAAATATGGACCACCATGCAGTGCTTTATGTGAGTCCAAGAGACACCTGTGGGTCAGGGTGTAGGAAATTGACCTAGCCATCTGAAAATGTGGAACAAAGAGAGACGCACGACTGGCAGATGGAAGTGGATCCTGGAAAAGCCCATTCTGCCTGCCTAGCCTGGAGCCAGAGGCCTTTGATAGGAACAGCATCGGCCCATAGCCCCGTTCTGAAGTTTCATGTTAGGCCTGACTTCCTTCCCCCACCCCTTCCTCATTTGTTTCCCTCTATTCCCATGCTCCCAGGGCCTTCCTGATCTCCCCACCTTTGCTTGGTTAGCTCTGAGTAAAAGAAAATTATCTTGGGTCTTACTTCCCTTACCCATGTCAGCAGAAGCAAGGATATTCATTCCAGAGTCCCCAGAAAGAGACCGCTCAAAAATTAGGAGCAAGTCTGACACCTCCGAGTGCCCTTTTAGCTCTGAATTGTGAGATGGACTTCCCCAGGATCTTACATTTTTCCCCCAGATGTTTTTGGAAGGCCACTCGTCAATTTCCAGGACAGAAATGGCAACGATGAACTTGACCAGTTACTGGCTGTGTGTGACCTTGGGCAAATCACTCTGGGTCCCAGCTTCTTTATCTGTAAAATGAGATGCTATGTTCCTAGGTCCTCTCCATCTCTAATAATGGTTAATAACTAGCGTTTATGTAGCAATTGGAGGTTTGCAAAGCGCTTGACACATAGGTTGTCTCATTGAATCTCCCAACAACCCAGTGAGCTAAGTGCTACTGTTCCCCCATTTTACAGATGGGGGGCTAACACAGCTCATTAGTGACTGAGGCTACATTTGAACTCAGGGCTGACTACAAGTCCAGGATTCCATTCACTCTGCCACCTAGCAGTCTAACATTCTTAGTCTAGGCTCCTTGCTAGCCCTGACATTTTGAGTCCCACTCAACCAGTGTCCCAGGTGACTTTCAGAAGGTAGCTTCAGGGCCAGGAGGGAGAGAAATGAAGTAGGGGCCACCCTAAAGGAAGGTGAGCGGGTATTCTGTGCTCGGCCAGGAAGGAAGCTGCTGACTCTTTTCTTCTGTGAATTAGCTGAGCTTCTTAACCACAATGATGGCTTTGGAGGCAAAGCTCTTTCTCTTCCTCACGGTGCCCCTGGGTAAGGACCCAGTCAATACTTAGCAGGCTGGAGATCTCATCAGTGTGGTTCCCTCCAGGGCTGCAGACCTAAACCCAACCCATCCATTCCTGACCACCTTGTGCGACTTGTCCACAGCCTCCTTAACAAGGAGTCAAACCAACCCAACCCGCTGGGAGCCTTGGGCCCATTCTCTGGACATTTTAGGGATTCCAGTGGAATGTGGGCTTTGTCATCCATCTTGCTCATTCTGTGATTGGACCATCTTTTCTTTCATGGTCGGATGTCTCTCTGACAGAAATCCTTTCTTCTGCTTCTCCTCCAATGTGTCTCTATTGTCCTTTGGGCAAAACTTAACCTGAATTCTTCAGGTATTTCTTGGCTCACGGCCACCCAGAATCAATGAACAAAGATTGGTGTGAAGGACTCTTTGTTTTAGGACAAGCTTGGGGTCCTTAAAAGCCCTACAGTCCAGCCCCACACTCCTACTCCTGTTTGACATAAGCCCCAGGCCATTGTCCATATTGGTCCAAGATATATGTGCCAGTAGGCAAGCTGAGTTCTCCATTCAAACATGTATCAGATTCTGTGTAACAAACAGTCTTCATCCACTTGGTTTTTGATGTGTGAATAGTTAGGCTGAGTGACCATGAGGCTCATTGATGAGGCTTGGCAGTGTTTCTGGGGCTTGAGGCAATCAGTAGTATCATCCACAAACCTGAGCTTCTGGAGGACCTTCCCCCAACCCTTTTCCATCTGGACTGTGCCAGACATCCTCCATAATAATGCCAGGCACCTTTGGGGAAGACACTGTTTAGGGCCTCATTTAATGCTGTTAGAAGCAAAGGGACATCAAAGAAAGTTATTTGGTTGCAGCATCTTGCAAGAAACTCTGCCTGACTTTGCCATGTGCATGGGAGACACCCTGTTGGGGGAGAGCCTTTTAAGGTGGCATTTGGCTCTGCCTTAATGAAATACTTCTTGAGAGTCCCTAATTGGCACAGTGGAAAGTGGGATTCTCAAGAGTCAGTTGTGACTGTAAAGATCTGGTTTGCTGTGAAATGCTTTTGGTGCAGCCCCGCCTGCCTCAATCCTCCTCATTCATAAAAGAATGCCTTCAGCGTGGTTTTAGCTTATTCTTGGAGATTTCATAGAGTTGGAAAAGGAAGCATATGGGTTGCAAATTACTGATCACTGTCCCCATTTTATAGATGGAGCAATTGAAGCCTGGAGAAGCCTAGGGCATGCAGAGTGGCCCTGCCAGGACTAGACCCTAAGGCTCTTGAACCACGCCCTCTCACCCCTCAGCTCTGTCCTTCCCTGGGCATGCCCACTTCCTAAATAAAAACAGTTTGGTCATGTCACCTACCAAAGCGTTTTGATAATGGAAGGAAAGAAAGACCAGGGAAGGGAGGAGGGCCAGGGTCCTTGTTTCTTGTTGGCATCATTAATGGCAACTGTGTTTTCCCTTTTCACTGTAGGAATCTTGGAATTTATCAGCCTGGCTGTGGGACTGATCAGCATCCGGGGAGTGGACTCAGGCCTGTACCTAGGGATGAATGAGCGTGGCGAGCTATATGGCTCGGTAAGTTGAAGATCTGCCATGCCTTCTGGGGCTGGGCTAGCTGGAAGTAGTAGAAATCCTGGGGCTGGCAAAGGAAGAGGAGGATTCTCCTGAAGAGAAGGCAAGAAGATACCTTCTGAATGGTTTGTCTGGGGCTCAGATTTTGACTTTCTGTTAGTGACACTAGAAAACCTTTTCAGGACACATACTTTTTCTTCTTCTTCTTCTTCTTTTTTTTGCAATGAATAACTCCTTAAATCATCACCAGAAATGCTTTTCTAAGAATCAGTTTGGTAGCTGGATCTGGGTTGCCACCCCTTCCAGCCCATCTTCTCAAATAGGCCTAGACCTCAGCAAAATCAATGAAGAGGCCCCTGCCAATGTCTTTACTCTTCCCCCATTCTCACACCAGTGCCCCACCTGCCTGCCCAGGCAGTGCTCGGTACCTCAGTCCTTTTCCAACCTTCTCTTCTCACCCGAACCTCAAATCGATTGAATCCTGGGATGTCAGAGCTGAAAGGGACCTCATTTGGTGGCAGAAAGATCTTAGGCCTAGAGAGAGGCCTAAATGACACGTCCAAGGTCACATAGGTTGTAAGGAGTGGCGCTGGGATCCATACCTAAACAGTAAGAGCTGACTTGCCTCACTTCCCCATCAGAGCCCTAAGTGGCTCCACTCCCTGGTGAGTTACCCTTCTCCTTATCTGCCAAACAAATCCATCCTAGTGGGTGTTGATGGGTTAGTACTCATGTTGCCAGCCCTCTCAGGCTTCATTTTTAACCTTAACAGGAGCCCAGAGAATAGAGGATGATTTAATCCAAAGTGTGGGGCGCTGGGGACAAGCCGGTCAGAGAGATTTGGGGGCAAAGGAAAGTCAGCTGAAAGAGGACAGCACGAGGAATCGGGAGACTTGGGTTTGACTCTCGAGTGTCATTTACCAGCTGTGTACCCCTTTGCAAGTCACTTATTTTTCTAAATCTCATTTGCCTCCTTTTTGAAAGGAAAAGGCAGCTGGATCATGCCATCTCTTGAGGCCCCTTCTAACTCAAAGATCTGTGATCTAACTGGAGGAACAGGTCAGCTGGTGCCATCCAGGCTACTACCTACTCTTCCTACATAGCAAACTTCCTTAGGTTCTGCAGATTTCAGCTCTTACCAACTCATCCGTGGCCCACAGCAGAACCCCTAGAATAGCAAGGAAAGGGGGTGGTGGTGGCAATTTCTCTTCCTAGAGGTGAGCGGCACTACAGCAAGTGAGATGGCAGATAAGGCATATGTGTCTACACCTCCAGCCTCTGTCCAGCAATAGCTGGGGAGGCTCCCAGGGCTTCTGTCCCCTGTGTGCCTCTGCTTGCCCAGAACAAATAGAGACTATATGAGATGTAGTGGGAAGAGGGTGGACCTTGGAGTCAGGAAGACCTGTGTTTAAATCTTAGCTGTGTGACCTTGGGTGAGTCTTCTTTGTGCCTCGGTTTCTATCTGTGTAAAATGATGGGGATGGATTTGATCTCTAAATCTGATTCTATAACCTTGCAGGGCTTTGGGCTGGGAGAACAATCCAGGGATGGGCAGGGACTGGATTGGAAGGGAGGGAGTGATGGCTTAGGTTTATCCTTTCTTTAAGGCCTGATGAAATACTCAGAACAGGGAAGTGCTGGATGATTCCAAAAGCAGAATTTTTCCTCTTGCCTTCCTAACACTTTTTTCCTCATTTCCCACAACTAAAAGGACACAGTGCGGGGGAAAGAGGAGAGTGGTGTGCATGACAGGGCACCCTGCTGGGGTATCCCAGAGGGAAGAGAGTCACAGTTTTAGAGCTAGAAGGGACCTTAGGGGTCTTCTAATCCAATTCCTCCATTTTATAAAACAGGACACTGAGGCCCAGAGAAGGGGCAGTGAGTGATTTGCCCAAGGGCATATGGCTAGTAATTGGCAGAACTGGGATTTGCGTCCAGGCCCAATGGGTCCAAGTCAGGTGCTCTTTTCACCACTGCAAACTGCTGAAAGAAGGAAAACTATGAAAGTCATCGAGAACAAAACCTTGGGAACTCACTCGGGGCCAACACAGCCAGCAGGCCCCTAGGGAGGTCGGCACCACCCATTCAGGCACAAGGGCAGCTACTAGCAGAACTGTAGCTCAGCCAAGCCTGGCAGAAAACCCACAGCCCTTTACTTGATGCCTTGGGCTAAGGGCACAGGCAGGGATGGTAGCAGGTTGGATCTGTCTTTGGTTGGCCTAGTATCAAGCCAAATCGAAGCAATGCCAAGAGGTTGAAGAGGATACAGAAGGCATTTATTCATTTTATATCCTGGCAAACCACCCTCGTTAGATGTCAGTGACAATGTAGCACTGGCCTAGGCACAGGTGGTATGCCCACAATCTCAATTTCTTTTCTAATACCATTTGCTGACCAAGAAATCAGGGGACTACTGGAGATTGAGTTTACCTAGATTTTGGCAAAGCATTTGACAAAAGTCTCTCATGCTTTCCTTTTGAGCAAGATGGAGAGATTTTGACTCTGATAATACAGTTAGATTTATTTGGGACTGGTTGAATGACCCTACCCAAACAGTAGTCCATTACAGTCCCAGATTCCTGAGAAGGAGGTCTGAGTACAACACCCCAGGGATCTGTGTTTGACCCTGTACTTCTAAACCATTTTTGCCAATGACTCATATGAAGGCATAGATGGCTTGCTCATCTAATCATTTACTCCGATCCTCTCATTTTATACATCAGGCCCCTGAGAGGTAAGATGACTTACCAGGATTTGAGGCCAGCTTTCTTGACTCTTGAGAGGCAGCCTGATATAGCGGTTTCAATTTCAAATAGACATGGGGGCCACTGAACTGGACCTAAGGATCCCTACAAACTGCATATGACTTAGAAAACCACACGTTTATAGATTTGCTTTCTCAATCAATATGTCAACACATTAAAATCGGATAGGAACTCCACATTCGTCTGGTTTGGGCTCCACCTTGGAGAGTCAGGCTGGGTGTTTGACACCTGGTATAGTGAATGGCCTCAGAAATGGAGAGTCCTGATCCTAAGGTTTTCCTCTATGACACACAAAAGCACATCACTTAATGTGTCAATTCTCAGTATTTCTTTTCTTTTCTTTTTTCTTTTTTGCTAAGTAAGGCATTGGGGTTAAGTGACTTGCCCAGGGTCACACAGCTAGTGAGTGTCAAGTGTCTGAGGCTGGATTTGAACTCAGGTCCTCCTGACTCCAGGGCTGGTGCTCTATCCACGGTGCCACCTAGCTGCCCCCAATGTGTCAATTCTTTAGGGAGAGAAAGTGCCAATCTCCATTGGTCTGAGGAAGCATCTTCATTTGGGAGTTCTGCAATATCCAGGAAATCACACATCCCGGCCCCTTTCCCTAATCTTTCTTGACTCCAAAACACACTTCCCTAATTTTGGCCTAAAGCTAATGGTTACAGGGCTAGTTTTCAAGAAAGGGAGGTGGGTGATGATCATTTCCATTTCTGAGAAAAGAAGAGAGATCATCTACTTAGTCTCACCTCTTCATTTTGCAGAGGAGGGAAACTGAGGCCCAGGGAAGGTAAGGAAGTGACTAGGCCAAAACAAGCTGTGAAAGGTAGGTCAGCCAAGTTCAAGGTCAGCATACAGTGTGCTGCCTGTCCTTGCAGGTCATAAAGCGGCAGAGAGAGGCAAGGACTGGGGACACCTCCCTAGCCAGGTATGAGCTTTTATGCCAGCCAGCAAAGAAGGGCCCTCTGCTTGTTAACCCAGGTGCTTTCAGGGGCTTCCCTTCATCTATAATTTCCATTGCAGGCTGGGGAAAATCCATTTTCTAGAGACCTTAGCTAAATCACATCTTCCTTTTGGGACTGTTTCCTCATTTAACAAGGGGGGGCTGGATTAGATAGATATGCCTTGGGGACCCCTCCAATTCTAACACTCTGATCCTGTGACCAGCTCAAGCCCCACCGTGCCAGATGCCTCTAATGCTAGGGAGCCAGCAGCTCCCTCCCAGACTGCCTGCCTCCCAGTACACCTCCCCTCTCCCCAACCCCCCCTACTTGGAGTAGGACATTTTTTCTTGACATCTGAGAGATAGGCCTGTCCCCAGCACTTGGTATCACTGTCCCCTTCTGGAATGGCAGTCACATCAAGGGTGAAAGGATAGGCCTGTTGTGGGAGACCCGGGGGCCTGCAGCCCCCAGTCATCAAAGCTGAGGTGCTTCCAAGGGGCCCTTCATTGGGAGAGATCATAGCTTGCCTTCTGGGAGCCTTATATAGGTTTGAGGCCCATACCACCTGTCAGCTCGTATGGTTGCCTGGAATCTCACTGTTCTTATGTAACTTGGGTTCTCTCTGAGCAGGGAGAACCCAGAGGGTGGCATACATCCTCAGCCACAAAGGGCTCACATCATCGAGTTTAGAGCTGGAAAAAGGGACTTCAGAAAAGAGCCCAGAGAGACCAAGAAACCATAGAGTCCAGCCTCATTTCATACACAAGGAAGGGGAAGCCCAGAGAAAAGAATGACTTATCCAAGGTCCCTCCCTCTGGGCAGGACCCTGTTTCAAGGAGCCGCTGATTAAGGGCCATTTCACCATTTCCTTTCACTTCTGCCATGCTAGTGTTAAATTCCCATCAGTATTGTGGGAAGTGCCTCCTCACATCTAACCAGAGTCCCTCATGCTGCAGCTCTTTGTGGGATAAAGAACAATAGCTAGTTCCTCTCAGCTGTTTAATACTTCGGATAGCCCTGGCTTTACTGGTAGAGCTAATTCCACCCCTTTCCCCCACTTCCTGCATTTTCGCCAATAGCTCTAGGCTCCTGCCCTTGGCTCCGAGGTTTTGGTAGAGCTGGAAGGGATCTTGGAGGCCTTTGAGTCCATCGCCCAAAGGCATACTGGGGGCAAGTAACAAAATCAGCATTTGAACCCAGGTCCTCTGCCCCTTCTGTCCCTTCTTCTGGCTTCTCTGGAGCAGAAGCAGATTCCTGCGTACAATCAACGTGTTCAATGATTGAAGTCTGTGGGATATCATTTCCAGGAAACCTCACCCAGACACAAATTGGCTTAAAGCCCTTACTGTGCCCCTGTGCCCATTATGGAGAGGAAACGGGGCTGCCTTTCAACCAAGGCTCAGGTCGGGTCATGTACAACTGTGTGACCTCAGCCATGTCAACCTCCCTTGGGCCTAGGTTTCCTCAACTATAAAATGGAAATAACCCCTGGCTTACCCCCTCCAAGCTATTGGGAGGAAAGTAGAAATCATTGGAGACTTGGGAGTGATTTTCATCCTCATATTTATTCCAAGCTGTTCTGTCACTGACACCTCAGTGTGAAGACTATTAAGCTCCTTTACTGAGGGTGGGTTTTTAGAAGGGGAGGGCACTTGAGGGTGGGGAAGAAATCAGAAAAGAATGATGAGCTAAGGGCAAACTTAAGTTTATTGGAGTTTAAGGCAGGCTCTACTTTTTCCCACCTCCAGGCTTTTGCTCATGCTGTTCTTCCCCCTGGAAATCCTTGCAAATGGGGATTGTTTCATTCTTTGTACTTGTATCTCCATAGCCTAGCACATAGCAGGGCCTTAAGATTTGTTTATTGGCAACTTGTCGACCAAATGATGGTGATGTTATGTGCAAATGCTCAACATCTATCCCTTTGTCGCCTGTAGTGCTGCTGAGAAGAGGAAAGTATGTTTCCTCAATTCTCTGGAATCTCGTGTACAATCTGTATTTCTCTAGGCCATTTCTAAAGAAATGTAATGGGGTCTGCCTTTTTTTTCCTCCCTCTCACAGAAGAAACTCACCAGAGAATGTGTTTTCCGGGAGCAGTTTGAAGAAAATTGGTACAATACGTATGCATCCACCTTGTACAAGCATTCAGACTCGGAGAGACAATATTACGTGGCCCTGAACAAAGACGGCTCACCCCGAGAGGGTTTCAGGACTAAGAGGCACCAGAAGTTCACCCACTTCTTACCCAGGCCTGTTGACTCCTCCAAGATGCCCTCCATGTCCAGAGACCTCTTCCGCTATAGATGATGTGATCACCTGGCCTCTGTTTCCCCTCCCCTGCCCCCCCAGTGGTGGGGCCACAGTTATGTCCTTGAGCTCTATACTCATAGCCTTTCAAGCCGTCCTTTTTAACAACTTCGATAACAGAGAAGCACTTAAGTTGAACTCAATCCAGCCAGCTCTTGTTGTTGAAAGTGTATTTACAGGTTGCGTGATTTGGGGGAGGGGTGGGGTGGGGAACAACTAGGGGAGGGGGAGGAGGGGTGGGGACACGACCTGCATGTCACCCCAGAGGTGGTGAAAGAGCAGGTGGGGGGAGGGGGGGAGGGGAGGGGAGGGGAGGGAAAGGGAGGGCAATGGAGGGGAGTTGGGGGGTGCGTTTCCCACCACACAAACTACACAGACACCTTGACACCAACCAAGCACACGAAAGAAGACCCCAGAGATTGCTGCCATCCAAAAAATCCCTGGGGAGTCAACAACCCCGTATGTAGGAAGAGGGAGGAGGGGAGTAGGAAGGAAAAAAAATATTATTAAGATATAAGCACGAACACTGTGTGCGAGGGCAAAAACTATTTATGAAATATGCTATTTATTTTGTATGTTTATTTATTTCAAAAGAATTTTATTTTTAAGAGAGATGTTATGACTGGATTTTAGTCAGAAAGAATAAGGTCCTACTGAAACAGGAAACAAATGAGTTTTTGACGGTTTACTGGCAATAAAATCGGCTTTATGATGTGGATTGCTGGTGACCTCATTGATTGGCTCACTCTCTCGGAGGAGGTCAGCTTCCCTTTCCTCTCCAACACCTTAACAGTGGTGTTGACTGGCCTGCTTAGAGGCAGGTGACCCCGTTATTCAGTATTTAGTGAGTGCTGACTGAATACTCAGCGATGGCACCGGGTGACGATCGCTGTCCTTGCTAGCTTTCGATTTGGTGGGGAGGTGGGCAGGGCACCTTGAAGACTCTCCTGATGGAAGTCTCCTCACTGCCATGGTCCTGTAGCTGATACATGACAGGCCTTCAGGAAACAAAGCCAGTCATTTTCATTTTCCTTTTTGCCATTTTACTACAAATTGGCTGTGTAGACCCTTTAGGGGTCATTCAGATCCTAGATCTAGGGCCAAAATGGGAACATCGAGGCCATCTGTTTAACACCCACATTTTACAGATCAGGAAACTGAGGCCCCCAGGGAGGTGAAGGGACTCACCCTAGGTCACACACTTCTTCCACTTGCCTCCTAGTTTATCAGACATTTAAACACCCATGATGTGCCCCACCCTTTCATTGTGGCTGGAGGAATACAAAGGCAAATCAGATGGGTTCCCCTAGCCCTGGAGAAGCTTACAGTTGATTAGGAGAAATGGGACATGTACACATATTAAAAAACATTACGAGTACAAGAGAAACAGACAATGCCACTGAATCAGGCAAAGGATCCGATCCCTTCCACCTGGAAGGGTAGTTTGACTGTCAGCCAATAAGGAAAAAAAAAATGAGAAGCGTCAGGAATAGAGAACAGAAGAAAGGCTTGGGGACAGGAGGATGTGGAAAGTGGAGAGAATCAAAGGGGAACTAGTGGTTTGGCAGTGTGGGGGCCCAAAAGATCAGAGGCCTTGAATTCTAGGTCAACTTTGATCTTTAGAAGGCAATGGAGAGGCAGGCCATAAAGTTACTTGAGTCAGGGGAGCAACCCGGTCAGGTTCTTTTGGCTGTTTGCTGTATGGATAATGGATTAGAGTAGAGAGTGACCAGCTAGCTGAGAAGGTGGTATTTGAGAATAGGTTTAGGGCTTCTGCACCACAACTTGAAATGTGGAATATTTAGTTCTCAAGAATGAAATTCTGAACACACAAAGAGAAATAATTCTGTGGAAGAAAATGGGGAGTAATCTAAACAGATTGGATATGGATACATAGGCAGCTCTCTGACCAACTTAATTTTCAAAAGGCCTGTATAGAAGACAGGAGGGAAACAAGGGCAAGTACCAGACCCAGAACAAAACCATGGCACTGTCCACTAAGAAAGCCAGGAGTACTAGAAGCCAGAGTGAGCTGAGGTTGGCAAGGAAAGCCAAGAACAAATTGGGGAGGGGAGAGCTACATTGGGGAAGAAAGATCCAAGTGATAGAATGGTGGTAATGATAATTGATGGAAAAAAGGTAAGAGTTACCCAGCTCTTACTTTCTTCTGTTCAGAAAAAAGTGGGAGCATGTTTATCAAAGGTACATACCCGGGGCCTCACAAGTAGATCAATTAAGTGGAATATAAGTTCGGTAGAAATATTCAAATCTATCAAAATAGCGGACAGGGAATGTTAGCACTAACACTCCTAAATGTTCAGAGACTACATAGATTTGGATCGTAATTCATTGGAATTTAAATGTTATAAACCCTGAGAATTCTGGTACCCCTCTGAGCGAACCCTGTAGCTGCCATATCTTACCCTGATCTCTAGTCAACTTTGTGGGTTATTTACTGATTTTTTAAAAAGTTTTATTAGTGCCTTATCTTTTTACATCCAAATAATTTCTGGATACAATCCCCTCCATCACCATTCAATGAGCTTTCCCTTGTAGCAGAGGAAAACTGTTAAGCAAAAACTGTGCAGTGTTCCACGCCCATAGTCCCCCACTTCTCCAATTAAAAGAAGGAAGTGTATTTCCTCATCTCCTGGGCCAAGGTTGATTACTACAATTATACAGTGTTCAATTTTTGTTGTTCCTTCAATTGACATTTTTGTAGTCATGTCTATTATTTTCCTAGTTCTGCTTAATTATTCTGCATCAGTTCATAGAAGTCTACTCATGTTTCTCTGAATTCCTCATACTTGTCATTTCTTATGGTGAAATACTCCTCCCATGATGTTTATAGATTACAGTTTGTTTAGCCATTTCTTGGTTGATGGGCATCTACTTTGTTTCCAGCTTTTTGCTTCCACAAAAGTGCAATTACGAATATTTTGGTACGTATAGGACCTTCCTTCGTGTCTGACCTTTTCCTTGCCAGAGAGAGTAATCTTAAGACTTAAGACAGACTAAAGAAGAATGGTTAATGGGAAATTGACACCCAGTGTAGGTGGAGAAAGAGTGAGAAGGCACCCAGCTGCCTTGAATGACTGTGAGTAAGTAGGCCCAGGTGAACTATGTCTTCTGGTCCTGAAAGAATTGTGGAATGTATTTTTTTTTTCCAGGGAGGCAATTTGGGTTAAGTGACTTGCCCAGAGTCACACAGCTAGTGAATGTTACGTATCTCAGACTGGATTTGAACTCAGGTCCTCCTGACTTCAGGGCCGGTGCTCTATCCACTGTGCAACCTAGCTGCCCCCCTCCCTTTTTTTTTGTTTTAGGCAGTTGGGGTTAAATGACTTGCCCAGGGTCACACAGCTGGTAAGTGTCAAGTGTTTGGTCCGAGGCCAGATTTGAACTCAGGTTGGAGTGTATTCTTGATGTGTTCTTGGGCATAGACTGAGATTTGGAAGGCCCCTTAGAAACCACCTGCAGTCTACCCTTCTCCTTTTGCAGATAAGGAAATGGAAGCCCAGAAAGATGAAGTGATTTGCCCAAGATCACACAGATGAGAAGTGGCAGGGCCAGCATTTGAACCTGGGTCCTCTGCCTTCAAGTCCAGTACTCTTCTCACTACACCATACTGCCTTACACAATGGCTGAGCCATCATAAGATGGCTGGAAAGGGACAGGTGCCACAGGACTGGAGAAGGACAAGAGTCCTGATTTTTTTCAAAAGGAAATTTTGATAGCATCTTGGAAGATGGTCACTAGTGAAGTACCCCCAGGGATCCATGCATGGCCCCATGATGGTGAACACTTTTGTCAACGTCTCAGATAAAAGCATAGTTGAAATGCTTATGAAATCTGCAAGTGACACAAAGCAAGGAGGGTAGTTGACACTGAATGACAATCTGTCAGAAGAGATCTTAGGCTGACTAATGGGATGCAGCTTCATAAGGATAAATATGAAATCTTATGCTCAGGATTGAAAAAGATCCACTTCACAAGTACAAGATGAGGGAGGGTGTTGCTAAGGAGGAGTTAATACAAGATGGAAGAATTCTCCTACACTGACTGCCAGCTCAATATGAGGCAACAATGGGACAGGGAGGCCAGAATGGCTTCCCAAGATCTTGGGATGCATTAAGAGATGCAGTGTTGAGAACTATGAGTCCTCATGGGCACAACCTGCCTCACAGGATGGAGAAAAGTGCCACATCATCCTTGCCATTCACTGAATCCTAGAGCTAGAAGGGACCTTAGAGCTCATACCCCCTCTTTTGCTAGAAGAGGAAACATCTCCAGGAGAAAAGGATTTAACCTTAACACAGAGTAAGTGGCCGAGCCTCCATTCAGATCTAGAACTTCAGAATCCAAATCTACTTCTCTTGCCACTAGGTTGCTAGAAGTCAAATCCTTCACAAAAATCTTCTGGTTTTATTTTAAAGGATAGGCTCAGAACAAGCAAATTCCCAGGAACCAAGGTATGGTTTCAAGTTTAGCAGCAAGGAAGTGTGTATATGTTGACTTTTTTTGGGGGGGGTGAAAGGGGAGCTTACCTTTTATTATTGTTGTTTTTCAGTCATTTCAGTCTTGTCTGACCCTTTGTGACCCCATTTGGGGTTTTCTTGGCAGAGATACTGGAGTAGCTTGCCATTTCCTTCTCCAGCTCATTTTACAAATGAGGAAACTGAGTCAAACAGGGTAAAGTAACTTGCTCAGGGTCACGCAGCTAGGAAGTGTCTGAGGCAAGATTTGACCTCAGGTCTTCCTGACTCCAGGACCAGTGCTCCATCACCTGCAGCACCACCCAGCTGGCCCAGCCTTGATAAGGACCTACTAGGGTGGTCCCTCATCAGAGCAAGTACCTTTTGAGAAGGAATTTCATCAAGGGCTGTACAGACCCAAGAAACTCTAATTTATTCTCTTTCCTTTGAGTTACTGTTCAGTTTCCTAATCCAAAGTCACAAAGTCATTTTGCTCTCAGCTTCAGTGATGACGCAAGGTCATGCTGACCACTTCTTGAGCCACTGGGAGCCTAGCTCAGCTCTTCCTCTTCAGATTCTGGAGGTTTGGGAAGAAATGACGGGTAGGCTGCTGTGGCCTGGGCTTCCTTCACTCCCTCAGCAAAAGTCGATGCCTTTCTTGGGTTATGGTAG